TATGTATGGTATATAATTACTTAAGAAGAATAAACATTTCAAATTAATTGTTACGATTATAAACTACTTAAGCTACTTTTGTCTAGGCATGTTTCAAAGGTCAAAGGTCATTATTAAATTATAATCCCTTAAATTGTATATAAAATTATATTAGAAAAAGAGTTAGTATTTTCCTATATACTTTATTAATATAAGTAACATAAGTGCACTTATATTAAAAAATTATATAGGAAAATAATAATTTTAATATAATCACACACACACACAACATATATGATTATTATCCCATATATACCATAATTACATAAAGCGTATAATTAAAAATTTTTCATTATGAAATTATAATTAAATTATGGTTTGATTATATTGCAATTAAATATTATTAAGCCTTATTCCATAATTATAAGCAGATAAAAGCTTAGAGATATTGCATGATGTATTAAGTTATATCACTTAATGTGATATTACATATAAGTAGATCATAGTTCAAATCAAAATCTAGGTTGTTAATAAGTCCCTAAATTTCATAATTTTTTGGTTCGAAGCAGGAACAATCCATCTTTTTCTCACTCTACCTTCATCTAATCACATACTAGGTTAAAGTGGCGACCTTCTACTCAAATTTCAGCTGAAATTAAATAATGAGCCATTGTAATAACGTGGTCAGGTTAGTTCACTTTTACTTGAGTGGGGGGTCGTATCTTTCAGCTTTGTCCATACACAAACCAGAAGAATTCCCAAATGAATTACAATCTTGAACATACAAACAACACTGAAAAGTACGATTCTCCCACTCAAGTGAAAATAAACCAAACTGATAAGTCTATAAACTTAGTCAAACCCTAACTTTGCACGATAACAGATCTGTCAGGGTAACAGATGGGTAAGAAAAAGGGCTTGAATTTTCGCCTAGCAAATGATAAACACTCACATAAGGTGGAATACAGTTTCCGCTTCATCCACAGAGTCACAACTCCAACAAAAGCTATTATATGGCAAGCCCAGTCTCATAAGCATGTCTTTCTAGTATGCAGTGGCCAGTCAATATCGATTACTTAATGCTGAGCGAGTTACGATTTGAAGCAGAAAACGGTGAGTTTTTTAACCAGTTTCGACCAGGCCGATCTTGACATTTGTAAGGAAGGTTTCATAAGTGTATGACCGGGTCTATCGTTTACATAGCAGATCAAAAACTGCTAATCAGTGAAATTAGTTGAAATAACAATATGTTGGGTAACTAAAAGTTTTTTCTTGCATTATTAATTTCATTAACAATCATTTTATTAAAAAAGCAGCAGTTCAATCTCATCTAATCATTACATTATATTGTGCGAAAAATCTATTTCTTTCAGCATAACCTCTTATTATAAATTCGCATTGCCGTAGTGATTACATAAATCGCATACACAATATTAATATAGTATTTAACTGCAGCAGTTATTATATTATAATAGTATTTAAAAAACTTTATAATATGCCTTGATCCACTCTCTTAAACATTATTACGAATTAAATATTATAGTTTTTTTTTTTGTAAAGTTTTTATAAAGGGAAATTTGTAGAAATTCAAATTTCACTCTAAAAACCATCTCCTCTATATTTGTGTTGCTTATCTAATTTTATATTATTATTATTATTTATTATTATTATTATTTATTATTATTATTATTTATTATTATTATTATTTATTATTATTATTATTTATTATTTTTCAAACTAATGTTGTAGGTATGTAATATCCTGGTCAGTATTTTTATTGCAGCATGATTATACATGAGATCCTATTATCTATACATCTATCTATCTATCTATCTATACATGGGCCACTACTTACTGTCTTTACCATCTTTTTCGGGTATAAGATATGAATATAGCACTACCAAATTACACTACGAAATTTAGAACTATATATATTGATATTGTGTATATATATAATTTTTTATAATTTGTATTTCGAAAGTTTAGTTTCCAATTCTTCATTCTTTATCATTTCTCTATTAATAAGCACTACTTTAATTTTGTTTCCACTATAATATATTTTACTTTTTGGACTCAATAAATGTACAAGACCAGAAAATAAACTTCATTGACATTAAAGTTAGATTCTGAAATAGTCTTATCTGCTCTTCATACAACGAACTACAGTCTTTTTGTACAATCGGAAATTTACCTAGATACATTATAAATATTTAATATTAATTATTTAATATTTTTTACAATAAAAGTATCGACCTTCTGTAAGAATAATTAAAAACTCTAAGGAGAATACAATAATATATGAATTCGTCGCGGTCATGGAACTATAGACCTTATATACGCATAAGTTCAATGTCCCAGTTGTTAATATATAGGACTACAATAACTGCAACTTTCAAAAATGTTGATAAACATTAATAAAAATAATGATTATTTGTTTAAAAAAAATAAAATTCAGGCATTGCACATAAAACAGTTATACAAACAATACCTACAAGCATGTGAACTACAGAATTTTATGTTTAATTTAAATTTTATGTGAAAATATATTCATTAAATTTAATTTAATGAAAATGTGGTTGTGCTTTATATTGCAGTTTTAAAATATGTAAACGGCAATTTGCTTTCATTGCACCTAAGTACATTAAATTAAATTGTTTATATAGTAGTAAATTTTCTAGAATAATAAAACAACAAAATAGTTAATTTTAATAATCTTACAAATAGTAAATAAGTTAATAAAAATTTACTATCAATAAATCAAGTGAATGACAGTTACAAGACTCATCAAATAGTATAAATAAATTAAATTTTGTATGAATATCAGAATTAGTAGACAAATTTATTTTGTATATATTATGAATAATAATATTTAAATATATATGTAATAATAATATATACATATAATATATAATATATATAAATAATAACATATAAATAATAATATATAAATAATAATATAAAAATAATAATATATAAATAATAATGTAAAAATAATAACATATAAATAATAATATAAAAATAATAATATATAAATAATAACATATAAATAATAACATATAAATAATAATATAAAAATAATAATATTTAAATAATAATATATAAACAACAATATATAAAATATCGATAAAATATCTAACGTAAAGATTTTGTAAATATTAATTGGGCTTGTTCTCTAAAACTACGTCTTTTTGTAAAAATTTTATTTTTAAGAATGGCTGAAGACGGATTGATGCCGTGCATATATATTTAAACAATGAAAGAAATTTAAGCGAAAAAAATGATTCCCTAAAACAACACTTAAAATGCTCTACGAATTTACTATGGAAAGCTTAAAACTTCTAAACTTTTAGAGAAATAATACACACCACGCCAAAACCACAATTTGACATTATATAAAAAACCTATTGGGAACATAAAAATAATGAGAAAAAAATAACTTTCAAGAGAAAATAACTGAACTACTCTACTACGTACTAAAATATATCTAAAATATTCCACAAATATGTGTTAGTTAAGACTTAAGCGAACGTCGTGGCAGCTGAGACTAGTTCCAAAGCTTCACTAAAGCGTCGACTATCGACTCGCTATCGACGATCAAATGCCATTCGACACCTTCCAAAGGAACTTCAGAAGCAGGCCCCAACGGGATACAACAACAAGTATCCCGCTGGGTATTTGCTATTTCTTTGTTTAATATATTCATACGATTTAAAGAATTTTTTGATATTACGAATGTAGTCTATTCGCAAGAAATCATTCGTTCAATAAAGTGTTTACAGTACTTACAAACTCAAGATTTAATTTGAAGTTTGAAAACAGACTATAAAAATTGTTTGTATAAATTATTTGCATACATTAGTAATCACTTTAAAATACTTAAAGCCAGAAGCACAATTATAAGATCAAATAAAAGTATGAATCGCGCTATGATTCAGCATCGAAAAAATTTCAAGATAATCAAATTGTTCATTTATAAAAATTATTATGATTATGAACAGAGCTTAAAATCTTTACACCTAAACATATGCAGTGCTCTATTTAGTAATACTATAGAAATTTAAATTATATTTTATTTAATATAAAATTTATTTATATGTAAATTAATATAAATAGAGAACAACAATAAATTGTTTAACTTTTATTACCGTGTCCACGATATTCTCTGACAATACCATTTCAAGTTGAAATAAAAATGATACTAAAACATAAAACTGAACTACAAATTTAAATACATGAATGTAAATTAAAAAATTTAAATAAACATTTCGGATTATCAGAAGCAACTGTTTTCTGGAACAGAAAAGCAATCAACACAATTTTAGTCATCAAATGTCATATGCATTTAATATGAAAATCTGTCCAGACCGCACATTATTATACTGAGATACTTATCAACACTTCGCTTACAAATTAAAAAAGCATATAATTGTATTGAATTTAAAACAAATCAGTGAAAAACTGCTCAATTGAAGTTTGAGGAATCATAAATGAATAATAAATAAATAAAACAAAAAACTCTAATTATAATTCTTAATGTTTCAAATGTGTGAGGAAGGAGGATAATGGCTAAGCTATTAAACAATTGCATATAAATATCTCAAAAAGTACCTTTAAATCTTCCTCTATTAGTCATAATTTGTGTATAGCGGAAAACTTGATTTATTAGCAAAAATAAATTGAGAAAGGGTTTTATTTTTTTTTAATGGAGAAGTATATATAGGTAATTATGAATATGCAATAATAAATATTTTATTATATATACAGGATTAACAATAGATTAAAAAGCTCAATACAAATATATGGAATAAAGTTAAAAATAATCTTTAAAGTCTATTAAAAACTAACTTAATTGAATGAATAAAATATTTTAAAAATATATATATGTATATATATTATTATAAGTAGTATTAGTAAAGTAATAAAAATATTGCAACATTTATACAAAACTAAATAAATGTCATAGCAAAAATATAACATTACTAGTTCTAGTCCAACTCTATATTATTTACGAGTTTACTTACAGTAGAGTGCCGCCAAAATACTATTAAATCGTGTATATTTGTGGATGGTGCCAACAACAGAAAATCTCGCCATTCGTTAAAACTAATATTTAAACTACCGTCCTGATCCATTCTATAAAATAGAGAAAACACATTAATCAGATGCTTTATATCTTATAGATAGATAATAAAAAACCTTGATAGAAGTTTTTTCGCTTCACTTTGGTCAACTTCAATACCTAAGTCCTTAAAAGCTGATATCAGCTCCTCCAAATCAACTTTGCCTATTATGGAAGATACAATAATTATTTATTAATATTTATTTTTTACTAATCTCCATTTTATAGTCGAACTTACCATCTTTATTCTTGTCCAAGTGGGAGAATTGTAGCCGTAAGTTCTTTTCATGTTCTCTAACGTAATGTACAAATTCCGCAAGACCCACGTCTCCACTTTGAGTTTTGTCCGAATGTTCCAGAAATTTCTGTAAAATAAAAAATTTAATTTTTAATTTCAAACTTTTAAAATAATTTTTAAAAATTGAAAATTTATTTCACATTTTTATAAATAGCAGAAATAGCACTTTAAAAAGCAGCTTAAATAATTTCGGTACACCAGGCGTCAATTTGTCTGTGTTTTTATTGACAATTGTGTAAGCATTTCAAAGGATAATCCTTTTGCGTTGTCCTTCAAGTGTTTGCCAAATAATTTGAACCATATAATTTTATTGCCTTCAAATTGTTATTATCACGCAAACAGCACAAAATGTCTCTACAAAATGTAAATTTATTCGGCGATAACCGCTTTACATTTGCTGACCTACATTTTTGTAAGGAAGGAATTTGTGTAGACAGTTTTGAATATTTAAATGGTGAAATAAAAAAACATTAGGAATATATGAATAAAATCCTTATGAATTATAAACTGTTTGTATCATTATCATCTTACCATTATAATTAGTGCTGAACCATTACGTTCACATAACGACGATATTATGCAGTTATAAATATTTAAATAATGTAATTGGTCTCATTATTCGTAAAGTAGGTCCATCCCTGTTTTATATCTAGCAATAGTTTTTTTTTCACTTACAGTATCTACTTTATCGTTATTTCCTATACGATATGTATCATTCTCCAAAAGCATTGGAGTAAATATTACCCTGAGAAATATACATTCAAAACATGTTTCATGTTTTTGATTCCTTAAAATCAAAGTTATAGGCAAGGCCAAAAAATATCTAAACGACCACAAAAGAAAATTGAAACTTGTATCGAAATCAAAATGAAAGATATATGTAAACGATAGAATTTCTCGATGGACATACGTACCTCTAGAAGACAAAAACCATAAAAAAATAGAGAAATATATGTTCGATAATTAACTAAAAAATACTCTGTTAATGTTATGATAAGGAATAAGGCAATAACATACTTCGAATATATGTACTTGTATACCTACTATTAGGAAGCTGGTCAAACCATATACCATACTTATATATACTTAAAATTAAAATTCAAAAGACAAAATACTAGCAGACGGTACCATAGAAGCTGAATTCATAGTATCAAGTTTCCAAAAATCTGTTGAAATGAGAAATACCGCAATTTAGGCAACGGTTTAGAGAATGTTTACGGCAGGGGTACCTCAAACTTCGGCAAACATATTTTCTCAGACAGTCAAGCAGCTCTAATATATCTAATTTCATTTACAATTTAGACAAAGTTGAATGTTTTGAAAATCCTCAACCCTTATCTAGCAAAAACTCTGTAAGTTCAACGTGTATATCAGCTCATGAGGTTCACAAAGAATATGAAAATAAGCTTAACGCAGGCAATCTCTATTTAGTTCCAACCCACTACCGTCCAGTTAAATATTTTTGCTTTTAAAAATCAATAGCTTTAAAGAGTCTTGCGTAGCTGGTAACCGCAGAAAATATTGAATATCAATGTGAGGACTAGGACAAGCCTCTCTAGAGCAACAAAATGAATTCAGGAATGAGATGAGAAATGAGATTGCATAGAATATCAAATTGCAATATAGCTAGAGAAAGAAAATAAATTCAGAAACGGAAATGAAATTGGACAGAATAGCAAATAGTAATATAGCACGCGAATCACTGGGGTCAAACTCGCACAGACGTCTATATAAACCGGCCCTGACTTGAAAGAGTCCGGTTGAACTCTGCCTATTCCCATAGCAGAGTACAAATAAAACTGTTTACAAACGCTCTTTGTACTACCTAAGATGACAGAATTATATACATAATTGCAACAATAGTTTTAAAAATAATTTAATTTACAGAAAGGAAGAACACAACTTTAATGTCTTCAGGAAGGCTTAATAGGTTATGTGAAATGATGCTAAACTAATTAAAAGTTACTCAAACTCTTAATATCATTTACAAAAATAGATAATAGGATGATTGTTATAGGCCGTATCACAATGTGCAGGAAAGAGTAACGCATTACTATTTACATATTGGTATTAGATACGTAACCAATTACATTTGAACTGGAATTTTAAATACGATAGATTTAGTTTTAAATAAACAAACAGTAGTAATGATATTAGCCCATAATCCAGACCTACATTCATTTTAAATACAATATCCATAACATAAAACTTTAAGTTATACACAAAATGTAATGCTACTTTCATTATCCATGACTTGAAGAAGTAGGAATATCTCAACATTTTTTAATTGTTACGAAAACTCAAATTTTCGAGTAAGTTTCGAGACGTAATTTGGTTAATTTTATTCTAGTACAAAGTCTGTCTGGCACTTCTTCTGGCTTCTCTGGTTCGATGATATTCGATTTTGGTGTGAATGAGGCACAAAAATGACGTGTACATCGAGAAGCGAATGTATAATTTTCTATTTGTACTTTGCGCTTTCAGATAAAAAATTAATTGTTTTTTCTTCTCAAATTTGTTGTGCTCATTTTAAGCGAATTTAGTTGAGGCTCCGTGGAGAACATTAGTCAAGTTCACTTTGCATCACATTAGATACAATATACTATATATGCTATGTATGCAAATTTTATTGTCGCTGAGGAAAGTAAATATATATCAACAGACTTAGTTAGTTGGACATACTATATATCTGAGTATATAAATAAAATTAGTGAAATAAAAATTGCAAAGTAATTTTTGTTAATTTATAAAAATAATCCTCATTTAGAAAATATATTTATAATAGCTATATGACAGTATTTTTAACTTTATTTGAGATTGCTTTTTCGCAAAAACAAAACAAAAACTATATTTATATTTAATGAAATCCAAAACTTTATAAACAATACATACGAAAATATCTGAGCATATTTGTTCCTCATCTTTGTAAATACAACAACTGTGTAAAGCCTTTTAATGTTCGCACAAAAATTGATGGACTAGTTTGTATACAAATAATCAGATAAACAAACTTATATACAGAGATATGTATAAACAAACAACAATTCTTCTTCTTCAATAAATAAAGAGTACGTATTACAGAGTCTACTCCAATACATCTTTCAATGATTTACATATATATCATAACAATTTTACAATATTGATTTTTGAATGGGTCTGGCTTTTATTAAAGAACAAGCTCTGATTGAAATGGGTGTCGTACTGAGCCTGTTGCGAAGAGAAGAAAAATTGTTCTTATATTTTCCACTTGGCGACATTATTTATCTATAGCTTAACTCTTTTGTTAGAGATGTCAAATATTCAAAAATATATAATTGCAAAAGAAGAAAAAATAAGAAATAATTTTATTTTTATATTCCGGTTGTTTATAAAATCATTAAACTATAACAAAAACAAGATATCATGGACTAGGAATACTTGACAAAAGAAGGGTAATAAGAAAAGAATATCTAGAAATATCTAGAAATATCTATCTAAGTTTCAACAAAACTGATTCTTATATTTCTAAAGATTTTATTAATTGCCTTGTAATCCGTTTAATAATATTTTGAATTTTAAATCGCATCTTATAATGTAAATATATTATGCCTTGATGCTATTTTACGTATAGTTAATATTTTTTAAAGGGTTTCTAATGATATAACAATTCTTTAATTTCCTATGTATGTCTCAAATGAAGGTCTAATCTTCATTCTACGGAAGGTTTAATCCGTTTTCATGCCTCGTTGCATATTAAAGTGATAAGATTCATTACATTACGCCATAGCCAAATTTTAATATTACTTCAATCAGTTTTTCTGTCGTCTCCCATATATGTAACTACTCTATTTACTTGCATTGTGTCCAACAAAATTAATTGGTTTAAAAAGGTTGGGAACTCAGCAGGTTTTCCCACAAAAAAGGGAGCTTTGACTTCATCCTAGTCATTGAAATGACTAGAGAAATGACCGGCTTGATCTGGATTAGCTTTAATTAAAATCCCATACAATTTTAATCTATTCATGTTCCCAAACTCCTTCCTTTCACACTTACCCAATTATATACTAATCTATGTGTTCGTATCTGTTATTTCAAATATACTATAGATCTCAATGAGTAATCACAACTAAAACAACAGCAAATGAGCGGACTATCCTAATCTAATCGATGTATTCGTATTTGTTAATTGCAGTATAGATCTCCATGGGTTATCTACATGGGTTATCACAACAACAAACACAAACGAGGGAACTATCAGTGTTACGACGCAAAATGACATAGGTATATATGATCGTTAAGTGAAATGAACTATTTGTAGTATAAAAATAAGGGTTGGCAATGATTTGGAAGTTTTAACACATCATAATAAATCAGAAGAAATTCGTTATGTTACAAATCAAGAATTATATAACAAAATTTTAGAAATTCATTGCAACGAATAATTAATATTTCACACTAACAACTTAAATTAAAACTATATTCCTATAATACACAAGACAATACCTTTTATAAAGTAAAGTTATTTTGTTGTTTTAGGATTTTAGTATATTTTCTATACGTGTTTCGGCAAATACGCTTTTACCCTTTTTTGTTGGAAATTGGTTTTTTAGTTGAACATAGTTTTTGCATTTGTATTGTTGCTTTCTTGTACCCTTTCATGCATACACTACAGAACGGAAAATAAATTTCGAAGTTTTTACTATATAATATGATTTTGTTCACTGATCTTTCTTAGAGAGATAGATTATAATAGCAGTACTTTGACATTAGTTTAAATCCTACTGATCCCCCAATCTGATTTTCTAATAATCCCCTCCCCTTTTACACAACCATTTCCTATTCACATCATAACCCATATCTTCGAAAAGTAATTCTTTTAATGTCATCTGCTTTACAGATTTCTGCGGACTAAAATAACAATATAACAGCAATCTCGAAAATGCCCAAAGGCTCAGAAACATGGCTTGAAAATTTTTGTAGTCAACTTTTAAAGACTTTAAATTTTGGAAAAATCTTCTACGAATATTTTATGATAAAATCACTTCTTTTTTGGATTAACATACCTCAGCGTACACACTCGAAAGTCCAAACTCTCGCAATGCTTCAGACAAATCATGTATATCGATTCTGCCATCGCCGTCGCGATCGAGACTCTTGAAGAGCTTCTCCAATCGTTCTTCATCTTCATGTGGCAATTCACTAGGCAATTGTGTATGACTACTACTGCTTGAATTATTATTTAGAAATTTTTGGAAAGATGAAACATTCGGCGCCAGTTGGGCTATAGTTGAGCTCTTTAAGGTTAATTGCTGATTTTGATTACTTGAATTTTCTGGTTCAGTATTTAAAACACTTGTTATTGGTATTAATTTATGTTGAGATGGAGTTGCTGAAAGAGGAACATTTTGTGAAGTATTTGCATTATCTGTCGTAGTATTTGTTTTAACTATTGTCACTTTATTAGATGAAGACGAATCAGTTGCGAAATCAGCTTCACCGCTTAAGCTATTCCATTCAGTATTTTCCGTTGTTGTTGTTGTAGTTTTAGCACTCTTCTTGCTCAGTTCTACTTTATTAACCATTCTAAATACTTAATTTGTGCTTATTTAAATTTTGTCTTTCTCTCTTCTCGTTAACAATTATTTAGAAAAAAAAAATTGTATATATATAAGAAAATATATATATATATATATATATATATATTATATATATATTAATTTAGTATGCACTTTAATTTATACTATCTCAAATAGTTTTCACTAAACAATTTTGTAACTTTCTTTTTTTTCCGATTGTTGAGTACGTATCTATGGTCTCATTATAGTTGTCTCTGGGCACATCCGTAGGATTTTTGAAAAGACCAACACTTTCACTGATAAATTTCTTCCAATATTTTTGTGATTTTTTTCGAATTCTTGTCGGGAAGCGTACGAAAAACACTAAATTGTGTTTTTCACACACGAGTTTTACTTTGCGGTCGGTCTTTCTCTGGTGTGTTGTTCTTACTTTCGCACAAATTTATCGAAATAATTCCAATACAAATCTAAAAATATAATTAGGAGAAATAATTTTAAAAAAAGTATAAACAATTTTTGTATTTTTTTTTTTTTTTTTGCAAAAATCTAATGTTCTGTTTATTTTACTATAAAAAATTTAATGGATTTCTGCTGTACACCAAACACCAAGAAAACTGATTACAGAGAGATAAAATAATTTTATTTAAAGGTTTGTTATATTATCAAAAATTTATTTTTTTTTAAATTATTTAAAATGGATCATTGATTCGATTTCCGACTGTAGAAGATATGATAATGAATTATAATACATTTCGATAGAAACCTTCAAAAAATCTAAGTAAAAAAAAAGTAAAAGCTTCAAAGGTAAAAATAACTAAATCAGCTATGAACTCGACATATTTCGCATGATAAGGTAAAGCAAATTTCTTTTATAATTTAGATATAAAAAACATTGGATGAAATAATAAGTGGAGCTAGAAAAATATAGAGGACGAAACTTCATAAGGTAGTGAGTGTAAAAAGGGGAATTCATTTATTAGAACTACCGTACGTGGATATATATGACTTTTTGTGCTCATCACTTTATTAACTTTTGTAAATGAAAAATGAAAGTGAAAATAAAAAATATGAATGTCTATTTTCATTCCACTGTTAAAATATACAATAATACGAAATATATCTATTTCTACAGTAATTATATTTAAAGTTTTTTTTACTATTTCACAGTAC